TATACAATTTATCAAGACTTTGTTGCTATTGTTGAGACAAGGTCTCAGAATGTAGCCCCGGCCCGGCTTCAAATGTACAGCCCTCCTCCTGCTTCAGCCTCCCGGGTCCCAGAATTAGAGATGACCCATCACACCCAGGTTCTCGACGTTTATATTTCCTTTTTCATACTGATGTCTTGAAATCTAGTATATTTTATGCTTACAGTCCATCTTCATTTGGATCAGCAGTTCAGTGCTCCATAGCCAGAGTGCTGGTCAATAACAGAGGATATTTTTTTATCACAGGGGGCAGAAAACCTTAAAAGGCTATGCTAGTACTTCCAAATGCCAGCTGAGATTTCCTTGTGTACTTTTTACCACCACACTATTTTTAAGGTCCCTAGGTAAAGTTTAAATGGACTGTTCCTAACTCTAAACTTGTTATTTTTAGAGGCAGTTATTTATGACAGGGTCTCCCAAATAATAAATAGCCCAGCCTGGCCTTGAACTCTTGATCTTCCTGCCTCCGCCTTCAAACCACTGGGACAACAGGTGTGCACCACTATGATCAGCTTAAAATGTCACTTTAAAGAACGTTATTTTTTTTTGTATATACTTGCTCAATATGGAAGTTCAACATATGATGGAATTCTGAGTAATGAAATACAAATGAATATCTATTAAGTCATATGGGAAAGAAACTGTCCTTATAAGAGAGACTTCAAGAGGAACGCTGGAAAGCTATCCACTCTCCTTATCCCTCACGTATTTAGAAAGATTAAGTAGGCTGGCTCCTGTCTCAGCCTCCTGAGTGCTAGGATTAGAGGCATATGCCACCATGCCCAGTGGCCTCTTTCCTTCTTTTTGGAACGTTTCCTATTGAGAACATGTGTAGGGGTGTGACAACTACCTCGGGATAATGACAAAAGATTCTTTAACACAGCGGAGATAACAGAAGGGCATTCTTCTTATCAGAGATGTAAATTTCTGAAGCCAACCATGCAGACACGGGGCAAAGGGAGGCCAGGGCAGAGCTCCCTATCAGTAGGTAGAGTGCGTCAGCAAGGTCCTCAACAGGCTGTGCCGAAATAGTAACAAACCAAACCGGCCCTTCCTCCTGCCTTTCCCTCCTTTGGTGAAGGCTCTTCCCCCCATCAGTCCTTCTCCTTTTAGACTGGGTCTCTCTGTATAGTTCTAGCTGTCCTGGAACTCGATATGTAGACCAGGCTGGCCTCAAACTCAGAGATTTTCCTGCCTCTGCTCTGGGATGCTGAGATTAAAGGCACGCACCACCACACCCAGTCCATATCATTTCTTAAGGTACAACAAGTGTGTTGGATTACCCGCCCCCCCCCACCCAGTACTTAACAAGTACTTACTTAGTGTAGAGCTAAAAGTGACAGCAAAGATTAAAAAAAAAAAAAGTTCCCCACCCCCCACCAGAAATGTCAAAAATGTGTATTCACTCAATATGTGGGCACAAACGACAGCAGGGTTTTCAGTACTATACAGTGTCATGATAATCATAGGCAAATATGCTGTACTGGCTGGTTTTGTGTGTCAATTTGACACAAGCTAGAGTCATCAGAGAGGAAAGAGCCTCAGTTAAGGAACGACCTCCATGAGCTCCAGCTGTAAGGCATTTTCTCAATTAGTGATCAATGGGGGAGGGCCCAGCCCATGGCGGGTGATGCCATCTCTGAGTTGATAGTCCTGGATTCTATAAGAAAGCAGGCTGAGCGAGCCATGGGAGGAAGTCAGTGTGAAATACCCCTCCATGGCCTCTGCATCAGCTCTTGCCTCCAGGTTCCAGCCCTGTTCTGACTTCCTCCAATGATGGACTGTGATGTAGAAGTGTAAGCCAAATAAACCTTTTCTTCCCCAACTTGTTTTTTGGTCATAGTGTTTCTTTGAAGCAACAAAATGTCTAACAAAGGCACATGCCCAGGAAGTTGGTTGAAGAAATGGTACTCGGAAGATTTTGTTACTGATTGTGAAAACTTTTAAGTATATTTTCTGAGTTAAATAGGAGACTAAATGGGTGACCATTACTCTAGTTCAGTTCCTTTTCTTCTCTCTTTTTTGGTTTTTAAGACAGGGTTTCTCTGTGTAGTGCTGGCTGTCCTGGCACTCACTCTGTAGACCAGGCTGGCCTCAAACTCAGAGATCTGCCTGCCTCTGCCCCTTGAGTGCTGGGATTAAAGGAGTGAGCCACTACTTACAAGAGAAACATTTTGTTTGACCACTTATCAGTCCTACACTAATTTTTTTATCATATGTAGATGAGTTAGAAACTCAAAGGACCCATTTCTTTTTAAATTCAAGTATTTTACACTTGGTGTTCGAGTGTGCAGACACCACAGGCCACATGTAGAGGTTTCAGCGGGGGACCAAACTCAGGTCATCAGGGTTTGGTAGCAAATGCCTTTACTCACTGAGCCATCTTGCCAGCCCAGGACTCATATTTCTAGCCACCTTTAGTTTTTTTGTGTTTTATGTTGTTTTCCATTGCTGGGTTTTATTTGCTTGAGACAATGTTTTGCTGTGCTCCTTAGGGTGGCTTCGAACACTTGAACCTCCTCCTCAGCCTCAGGTACTGGCATTGCAGATGCAACCCCATGCCAGGCTTTATCTACTCTTTTCTTGAGATAGAGATAGAGATAGAGAGAGTATTTAGTTTGTGTGTTTCCCTGCATGCATTTATATGCATCACATGTAGTGCTCACAGAGGCCAGAAAAGGGCATTGGATCCCTTGGAGCTGGAATTACAAGAGGTTGTGAGCTGCCAAGTGGGTACTAGGGACCGGACTCCAGTCTCTTCCTGAGCAGCAAGTGCTCTTAACCACTGAGCCACCTCTCCTGCCCGGCGTGTATGAACTCTTCATCTAACTCTCATACCGAAATTCCATTAGAGACATATCATAATGTTCAAAACAGTCTTTCAGGGTGGCTATGGTGGAACACTTCTATAGTCCCAGTACTTGGGAGAATGAGGCAGGAGGGTTCCAAGTTTGAAGCCATCCTGGATTACACAGCAAGACCCTCTCAAAAGTAAAACAACAACAACAAAAAAACAATAAATTACCATTACAATCTGTTCTTTTGTGATCGCTGCCAGTCTTGACAAAGTAAGCCCCTTTTTGAGTTAATCATAAATATGAACAAGAAATTCATACACCTTTTCTATATTTTTTCCTTTATGAAGATAATGCCAGTTCAACATAGGCTTAGAAAACTGGTTATCATCTTACCTCTAGTAAAGCTATTGTTCCTGGAGATAATAGAGAATGCTGAAGTAAGTTCCCACCTGTATCTGTTTTTAAGACAGGGTCTCATGTAGCCCAAGCTGGCCTGGAACTCAGTGTGTAGGTGGGGATGACCTTGAATTTCTGGTCCTGCCTCTACAGCTGGGAATACACAAGCATGTGCCACCAGGTCCCATTTCACTCAGCTCTGGATGAGACCTGTGGGTTTTGTGCAAGGAGCCTATCAACTGAGCCACAGACCCTGGCAATCTATATTAACCTTTTTTTTTTTTTTTTTTTTTTTTTTTTTGCCATGTACCCAGATGGTATAGAAAAACTGTTTAAAATACTATACTTAATCTATCATATTGAACATGAAGAAAATCCAGAGGCTAGCTTTTGAGATGATGGCTTCTCTCGGTTTTGGGGAGCACGAAAAGCCTCGAAAATCTGGCCTTGTTTGTTCACATGCATACATTTTCCTCTTTTTTACTGATTGAAATGTCACTTTTCTAGTAGGAAACGTTACAAATTTAAAGTTCTCAAATTCACCAGTCAAAAAATAACTAGGGTCTAATAAAATTGTCAAAAACATCAATTGTTTTTAAACTTAGAAAAATACCCAGGCTTAGTTGACTTACTCCTTATTTATGGTTTTTGAGCATACTGGAATATTCAATAGAAATTCTTTCACAAAACTTTTTTTTTTTAAATCCCTTTGTTTCTACTTGCAAATGGATAATCATACCTACAATAATCTAAATCAAATGTGCTTATCAGATCGTACTTTATAAGCATTGTCCAGTCCACTTGAAGCGAACTTTGAATGGACATTCAAACTCTTAAAAACTGGCATTTAGGCTTCTGCATTATTTGGCAACTGTTTCTAGTGTCAGCTCTTTCTAGTTTCAAAATTTGCATGGCTGCCTTTCTGAGTTTGCTTCAAGAGTCAGTCTTAACCCATGCAGGAATTGCTCGAACTCGGCGGCCTCGGGGTCAGCCTGATTTGCATCTCCGCCATAGCCAAGTCCATCCTTGAACTCGGCGACGGCGCTGCCGGCCTCCGCGCTCACGCTCCGCTGCTCACTCTAGCGAAGGTGGGGTGCCCAGCATCGGCGCCATGGGTGCTCCTGCCTCTGACACGACAGCGACTTCTGGGCGGTGTTGTTTTCATTTCAGCCCTCCGAGCTCTCGAGCGCACGCAGCGCCGTCCCACACCTCCGCGCCTCGCTCCCGAGTCCCGGGACAGGCAGGCGCCGTGTTCCCGGAGAGCGGGCGAGCCACGTCACCCGCGCAGGCGCAGGAGCGGGCTCAAGGCGGCGGGAAGGGGCCTGCGCTCGGCCCGCGGTAAACAAGCACTGCGCATGCGCCGCGGGCCAAGGGTTTTGTCTTTTGTTTTGCATAGAAGGAAAAAAGGGGGCGGGGGTGGGGCCGCCGGACAAACCCTCGCGTGCCAAGACGACAGGCTCTCTGGCTTTTGTGCTTTACTCGGTGTCTGAGGTGCCAGCTCCGCGACCGTGGGAGGGCCGTCGGCCCGGAGCCGCCTCGGACGGCGCTGAGGCTGAAAGGAAGAAAAGACTTTTTTTTTTCCAAAAGGAGAGGTGGTGGGCGGTCCCTACAACGCCACATAAAAACCTCCTCGGCGCTGGCCGTTCCGCAAACAACGCGAGATCCTGGTGCCAGGACGTGACTCCACTCACCCCGCCCCTTCTCCGCGTCCTGTGCGCATGCGTGTGGCTTTTTGGCGCGCAAACGGGGTTCAAAACTTCCTGCTTGGTCGCAGGTGGCCGAATCCGGCCCCTGAGGAATGTCTGTCAGCGTTCAAGCCCACAGCGTCATGTTTTTAGGGATTTTCGTTCGCAATCCCACTTGAGTGCAAACTCGTCCCCTCTTTTCTGGTCGTACGTGGGTCATGCGTTCCGGAGAGGTTTCCGCGAGTCCAACAGCCAGAGTGGGAGTGGGCGAGCCCGTCACGGTTTTAAAATAAAATGCTGAGTTTTAGTTGTGTACAATGTTTACTCTGCGAGCCGCATAAAAGGACAAATCCGAGGGACGGAAGGATTTTTTTTCTTTCTTGAAGACCTTGAGAGGCTGTGAATGTGGACCGAGGTAATACAGTGGGGTGAAGATGGGAGATTGTAAAGACGAACGAGGTACATCAAGACAGTACCGCATGCTTGAGGGATGAGGCCAGAATTAACCATAGGGAGTAGAGGAAGCTTAGCCCAAAAATCCATGCATATTTATAAACAAGAAGGCAGAAATGCCATTTGGTCCGTGACAGCAAAGTGGAACGGGAGTGCCTGGCTGAACGGACGGAGACATTTCTACAAGGGTTCTGAGCAAGAGCCGAAGTCGGGGCTGGGGAAAACGTAGTCATCTTGAGTCTGGAATGTTGGAAGTGTGGAGGGGTCTCACTGATCGGGCCTCTTTTCTCTCTCAGGGCACATGGAACACCTGCACAAACACTGGATTTTTGCCCCACAACATCTCAAAGGTACCATCCAACACCTGAGGTATCCTCTTCCCAGTAGAGTCCCCTCACCTTTCAGCCAGAATGAAATTTAGCTTACAGGTTATTCAAATGTGTCACTGGCTCACCACAAGACTGCGCACTCCTCGTCTGTACCCTCTCGGTTCTGTAAATCTTGGTTGGAATCCACCTTACTATCGGGAGCAGTGCTGGAGAACACGTCAGTATTCAGCCCTTGCTCATTATCCCCCGGGATTGTTTCCAGGACCTTGCAGGAATACTGAAATCCATGATGCTCAAGTGTCCTGTGTAATAAGGGGTACTATTTGCATTTCACCTGTGTTTTTACATCTTCCTGTAAACAGTCTCTAGATTACTTGTGATATGTAAATCAATGTAAATACTATGTAAATAGCTCCAGTACTATTTTGTGTAGGGAGTAATGGCAAGAAAAGCATTCAGTACAGATGCAAATTTTCTTCTCAATTTTTTTTTGCATTTGGCTGAATCTGAGGGTGTGAAACCCATTTATGTTGGGGGCTGACTTTCTCCCTTTCTGTGTGAAAGAGTCACCTCCCTGTATTGATCACGACTGGCCTAAATGGGCTCAAACTCTAGACTCAGGCAGTCCTCTGGCCTCAGCTTCCCCAATAACTGACACTGCGGGAGTGTGCCGGGAACAGTTCTGAATATATTTTAATCCTTTGTGTGCTCTATACAGTAAACCTAGGAAGACTGTTGGGCCCCCAGTGAGGCCCAACAAAAGAGTAGCTGATCAGTGAGCAATAGAGCTTCCTTCATCCAAGAAAACAAAAATGGAATGCCTTAGGATTAAAGCTGGCAACGATGGAGAAAGATCTAGTTATTAACTTATAGAGGAAAATGCTTGGAAACCAGGTATAGCGTCATACACCTGCTACTCAAGGAGGCTGAGGCAGGAGGATTGCTTGAACCTAGTTGGGAAACAGCTGGGAGGTGGATGGAGAGAGGAAGGAATGAGGGAAGAAAGGGCCAGACATGTAGACCCTACCAGGAAGTTCTCCCTAGAGCACTGTATTTTGACAGACTGTATTCTGTCCTGTAGGCTGTATGTGCTGAATTCACAGGAAAGTTATGGATACAGTAGAATAGGATTTCTGGGTCGAAGCCTAGATATTTGGCTAGGGATGGGGGTCATCCACCATCTAAGTGTAATATCATAGAAGCTGTTTAGAATTGGGGATCCAAAACCTGAGGCTAGACTCTTAGATCTGCCAGTCGTGCCACATGACAGCTCAGAGGCTCACCTGCCCTGTTTATAAAGTAAGGGTTACAGTAGAGGACGAATAAGGGTAAGAGTATCTTTAAAAAAGTTATTTGATTCTACCTGTGTGAGTGTTGTGCCTGCACTGTATGTTTGTGTATCACTTGTGTTCCTCATGCCCTCAGAGGCCAGAAGAGGACATCTGATCCCCGAGACTGGGGTTGCAGATGGTTGTGAGCCTACATGTGGATGCTAGGAATTGAAAACTGAGTCCTTTGGAAGAGCAGCCAGCGCTCTTAACTACTGAGACATTTTTCCATCTCTCCACACTTTTCTTAAAGAATTAGTATAATGGCAATATGTGTTAACAGCATAGAACTTAGCATATCATATAGGATCAGTAAGGGAGAGTTTCTTTCTTATGCAGCATTTATGCTTGCCTCCTACCCACTGAACTGTGGGTGCTGCATGGAGCATAAGTCTGTCTGTATTGGAAAGCCTTAAGACAGGTCCTTTACCTTGCTTGCACATTAGAATTACCTGAGGAGCTTTGAAAGATTCTAATGCCTGGCATTACCCCAGATCAATTAAATCAGAATGTCTGGGAGTAGTGCTCCCAGACACCAGTAGTTTTTCTATTTTAAGACTTTTAGATTTATTTAGTGTGTATGTGCACACATGTGTGTGAGAGAGTATGTGCATGCCGCAGCTTGTGTATAGAGGCCAGAGAACAACTTGCAGAAGTTGGCTTTCCCAACATCGTATGGGTCCCAGGTTTCAAACTCGCGTCCCCAGGTTTGACAGCAAACTTGTACCAGCTGAGCCATTTCAGTGGCTCAACATCAGTACCTTTTAGTTTATCTTTGTAATTGTTGGTAAGTGTCAGTATATGATGTATGCGGGCGCTTTTGCCACAGTGTGCATGTGTAGGTGAGAGGGGCAACTCTGGAGTCCCTTCTCTCCTTCTGTTCTCTAGTGTCCAGGGATGGAGTTCAGCTTTGTGGGGCAGCAAGCGCCCTTACCTGCTGACTCATCTCTTTGGCCCATCAGTTGGTTTTTTTATTTTATTTTTTTTTAACCAGGCTGGCCTCAAATTCACAGAGATTCTCTTGCCAAGTGCTGGGATCTGGTGTGCATGTGCACTATGCCATGCCCAGTCTCCATTAGTATTTTCCTTTTTTAAAGCTCTGTTTTTTTATTTTTATTGTTAAAGGTTGAGAACCACTGCTTAAAGAGATCCCTCTAGAAAATGAAAAGAAACAAGACTGGTGGCTTAAGGCCTGCTGATCTGCATAGTTAGACATTTGGAGATGAGTTGGGCCCAGGGAGGTAGATTGTGGAGGGAAGGCACTTAAATACGCATGCTAACGTGGGAGCAGTTGTGTTGTCATGACTGGATGCCAGGAACACACTGAGTTTGCTGTATGGGAGACTTTGAACCTCCCAAGCTGGCCCTTTGATCTAGCACAGGCAACACCAAAGATGGCTTGGCTTCCCTGCCGCCCTCCCGGAGCTGCTCTGCTCCATTGATGGGGAAGGCACGATTAAAGTGTTTGCGCCCGCCCGCCCGGGTGGTCTCTCCACTGAGGACAGGTGGGAATGCCTTCTTAGCAGCATCGATAATGAGGCCTTTCCATAAGCCTATCAGAGGGATGAGGTGGATCTGACCACACCAATGGTTTTGTTGTTACTGACAGATGAGAAAAGTAAGCTTTAAGCCTACCTTTATAGCCTCCCTCAGTGAAACCAAAGTCACCCGGGGATGGGGAGTGTCTGGGAGAGAAATTTCTCTCTCTTTTTTTGGGGGGAGGGGTGTTGGTCGTGGTGGTGTTCTTAACCCCTGAGTCATCTCTGCAACCAGGACACTGTCATGGAGTAGGCCCCGTTTTTTTACGGAATCAGGCATACACGTGAAAGATAGTATTGTATGACAGACAGGCGTGCGGGAGAGATTGGTGTCTGGCTCGGGTAGTTCTTTTGTAAACTTGAATTAATTTATTATTGGTGTGTGTGAATGTGATGTGTGTGTGGGCCTGTGCCTGCCAAAGCTTGAGTGTGGGGGTCAGGGGACAACTTTCTGGAGTCAGTTTTCTCTGTCACCTGTATGTAGGTTCCGGAGACCAAACTCAGGTTACCCGGCTTCCCTGGCACCTTGCTCACTGAGCCATCTCGCCACCCTCAGATGATTTTTATGAGTTCGAGTTAGCCGGTTCACGACTGATTTTTCATCTGCCGGAGGTCACCAGTGCTTTCGCATGGAGGGAAAACAAGAACAAGATAGGCCCAGCTGGAAAAAAAATGCGGTAGGGGGATTGGGTTTATAGCCTAGAGGTGGGACACATGCTTAGTGTCGGGTTAGGAGGCAAGAGTCCAGAGCCTGCAGAGGTAGTCACTAGACGCCTGAAGTGGCTGAAGAACAGGTTCTGCGGAAGTGCGGAGTGGAATGGGCCAGAAAGATAGGAGATGAGGTGAAGGGGAGCAGATCAAAAGTCACAAAAGCCTCGGGGGGGAGGGGGGGGGGGGCTGGGATGATGGAGCTCAGTTGGCAGAGTGCATGACTAGCATGCATGAAGCTCTAGGTTTAGTCCCCATAATTGGTGATGCATACTGTCATTCTAGGATGCATAGGGAACCCTTAAGACTAGCCCGGGCTACATGAGACCCTGTCTCAAAAACTAAATCCAAACAAAGACAGAATATTTTAATTAGTAGTGTCTTTTAAGTAAAAATATCCAGGAAAAATAATGGGACTACCCAAGTTTTAATTCAGGGATAAAAGGATCAACGTATACAAGACGTTTTTAAAGGAACAGAGAAAAATAAAAATTAATTTGCCTTAGGTAATACCCAAATTCACATTTATTTAATATGCCAGAAGCACCTAGCTGGCTTTTAAAATTTTTTAATTTTGTGGGGGCTGGAGAGATGACTTAGAAGTTAAGAGCCCTGGAGGACCTGGATTGGATTCCAGCACCCACATGGTGGTTCCCAACTGTTTGTAACTCAAGTTCCAGAGGATCTGAAACCTTCTTCTGGCCTCCTTGGGTACTAGGTGAGTACATGGTGCACAGATGCACATGCAGATATAATACTTATAAAATAAAACAAATTTAAGAAAATCTTAATTTTCTTTTTAATCTTGAAAGTATAAAGATTGATTGGATGAGGATTCTCCCTGCTATAGTCTTTGAACAAGATGCAATATATTATAAACATGGTGGCTCTGATTCTAGCACTTGGGAGGTAGAACAGGAAGATCAGTTGTTCAAGGTCACCTGAAGTGACATGGGCAAGCTCCAAGCCAGCCTGGACCATATGAGACCCCTGTCTCAAAAAAATAACAACGACAATAACCCCTATAACCAAAAAACTGAAATGCAATGAATTCATCCACAGAAGTAATATGTGTGAAAATTAATGTAGTATATGGTAAAAAGGAAGCTGTGTCTGGGGGTGTAGCTTGCTATGAAGTAAATGCTTGCCATGCCCGTGGCCCTGGTGTGGTCCTCAGCACCAGATTAAAGAAGACAGACATGAGTAACTGAACTTGGAGGGTCCTGTCTGGGGTCTTCACCTGCTCTGTGATGGGACACCTGACCAAAGCACTCTAAGAAAGGAGGTTGGAAAAAAATAAAAAGAAAAAATGAAAGAAAGGAAGGAAGGAAGGAAGAAAGAAAGAAAGGAGGTTGGTGTTATCTCGGCTCTGAGGGGATAGAGCTTAGCATGGAAAGGAAGGCATGTGGTGTGAGCTGCACGGCATCTCCATTCAGGAAGCAGAGAGATGAGTATTGGTGCTCAGC